CTACAGACTGGCAGTAATGCAAGGGCTGTTGGCTCAACCAATGCCAATGAGCATAGCAGTAGATCTCACTGGTCTGTCTGTCACAGTTGATTTTAAATTCAGTACTTGTTGCACAAAATGTGTTTAAACACAGCTAAATGCCAGCTTATGGTTCAATCTTGATGCAGCATACATTGTGTGATGGTTAAGGGAGAGAATTTGTTGAATGGGGAATGCACAAAAAGCAAGCTATGGTTGGTGGACCTGGCTGGAAGTGAACGAATAGTAAAAACAGAAGTGCACGGAGAAAGACTCAAGGAAACTCAAAATATTAACAGATCCTTGTCTGCACTCGGTGATGTCATATCTGCTCTTGCTACTAAAAGCCCTCATATTCCTTTCAGGTGATAAAAATACAGAGATGAGTACTTCTAAATTATTAAGAACATAGAAATCAGTAGTGTTTCATAGGTTTTAAACTTAACTGTACATTAATCATGCAGGAATTCAAAGCTTACACACTTGCTTCAAGACTCTCTAGGTACAATTTTATCTTTATACCCCCTACAAGGAAATAACTTGGACATAAATGATAAAAACAAGTCAACTTTAAAATTTCCGTTATTTTTACTTTCATGGTCAAACTTCTGTTGTTTCTTTCATAGGATTTCCACAGCGATAGAAGTAAAAAGCCTGATAATTAGGTTTATGTTTCTTAGGAGGAGATTCAAAGACACTCATGTTTGTACAAATCAGTCCTCAGGAGAATGACCTTGGTGAGACCCTATGCTCTCTGAACTTTGCAAGTAGAGTGAGAGGTATAGAGTTGGGTCCGGCAAAGAAACAAATGGACTGCTCAGAACTTCTGAGATGCAAACAGATGGTAGAACTGGCAACTTATTGGCAACATTTTTTAAGCCTAATTTATCATTTTGATGTTACCAATGACACTTCTTTTCTAAACCTAAAAGGTTGAGAAATCAAAGCAAGAAATGAAGATCAAAGATTTGCAAATCAGGAAGATGGAGGAAATAATTCATGGGTTAGACCTGAAGATAAAGGATAAAGACCAAAAAAACAAGAACCTGCAAGACAAGGTATTGCATAGTGTAAACTTATCAAACAATCTTGAAAATATTCAATATCGTTTTACTCGTGGAGCTGCAAGTCTGCAATTGATTTGTAATTCCAAATGCCCTTTATGTGACATTATAGTTCTAATAGGTTTCATTTCTCCAGGTGAAAGAACTGGAGTCGCAGCTACTCATTGAGAGGAAGCTAGCACGTCAGCATGTTGATACAAAGATAGCTGAGCAGCAGCAGCAGCAGCAGCAGCAGCAGCAACAGCAACAAATTAAACAGCAGAATGAGGAGCTTAGTAATTCAGCAATGAGGCCACCACTGGCAACTCGACTCTTGGGAGCTAACAAGAATTTTAATGACGTTTCAAATGGAGCATTGATGAAAGAGCAAGTAAATCTCACTCGTCCGCTTATGGAAAATAGCTTCAGGCCAATACCTCTTTCTGTAACAGATGGCTGCATCCAGCACATTGATGCAGCAGAAAAAGAAAACAATCCCGAGGCGGCTGAACAACTGCGACTACTACCAAAGAAGACAGGAAGAGCCTCAATCTGCCCAACCGCAAGACGAATGTCGGTATCCTCAGCTCCGAGGCGCAACTCTTTAATACCACTGCCAAGTGCACCTAGCTTAGCGCAGCTGGCACCACCATTTCTACCATTGCCACCCCAACCAGATATAAAGGAAGAGGAAGATGAGTTTATTCCTGAACAAACACTATGCAACAGTCCTAAAGGAATGAAAAGCGCGGGTAAGAAGCTGAGCAGCATTTTGAGACGAAGCCTTCAGAAGAAAGTTCAGCTAAAGTCCCCAATGCAGCAGCATCTGAGAAGAGGTGTAAACGTGGGGATGGACAGGGTTAGAGTTTCAATCGGAAGTCGAGGGAGGATGGCCAGTAGAGTACTGCTAGGCAATGGTAGAAGAGGAGCAGGAACCAAGGAAATTCAGCAGAAACAAAACCACAAAGAAAAGGAGAGAGGGTGGAATATCGGAACAGTTGGGAGGACTGCAATCTAACAGCTCAAGACTCTTCTTTATATCTTTCCATGTACAGTAGTAGGATGTATTCCTTTGGTTGCACCGGCAACAGGTAAAAAGAAAAGCAACAAAAACAAAAACATGTGTGTGTATCTTCCTGGATGATGCTAATCATCTGCCTGGACTCTTTTGCTTGCTAATCGTAAATGGGTTGATTAATTATTAAATTAAAAACTTTTATTCAAAAGAAAGGGAAACGGTGTGAATCTTTGATTTATACTAATTGGATTCATATACAGCAAATCATGTGTATGAAAACTAAAAGACAAACTCCATAAAACTACTATATCAGAGCCTCATCATCTCTCTCCTCTTTAATTTTGCAATAAACTCCTAACAAAAAGTTTTGACAAAACAACACTAAGCATGCTTCCTAGGTATATTATTGTTACTATTAAGAACATAATCATAGTAATTGGCTTTTCTATTTTTATTATTCCTATTTCTCATCATCAAATAATCAAGTCCTTTCCAAAACCAACGCCTCCTCTTCACATGGCCCACATGCCCCCTCTTCCTCGCCACCCCTCCCACCACCTCCGGCGGCTTATAGTGCCTGATCAAGGGCCATTTGATCCCATCGAAGAACGGGTGTCGTTTTATATCCTGCGCACCCTTGGTGCACCCTAGCCTCCTCCTCGGGTCTTTTACCAACAATTTCCCGATCAAATTCTTTGCCTCCGCCATTCCAGCCTCTTCCATCTCCGCCACGTGGAGGAATCTTACTTGCCTGCTGGAAGCTATGTTACGAAGTGTGCTGTCCTTGTTGCCTCCCTTGAACGGTGTCGTTCCGTATAATAACTCGTAAATGAACACCCCAAACGCCCACCAGTCAACGCCGTTACCGTGGCCGTTTCCGGAAACGAGCTCCGGTGCTAAATATTCGTGGGTCCCAACGCATGACCTGGAAAACGCCGTTACCGGTTCAGCTACGAACTCTGGATCAACTTGGTCTTCTTCTCCTGAATCCGCGACGGAACCAAAACAACCGCCGGTGAAACGGTTCCGCCTCGACTTTCGACTTTTGCGGCGCTGGAATTTAAAGGTGGGGACCACATCAGCCGTGAAACACAAATCGAAATCCGACAACATTATATGCCCATCCTCACGTAACAAAATGTTTTCAGGCTTAAGATCCCTGTAAACGATCCCTAAAGCATGTAAATACTCTAAAGCAACCAACACTTCCGCCGCAAAAAACCTGACCGCCGCTAAAGGAAAGCGATTTCCGGGTTGTTTACGTAGAAGAGAATGGAGGTCCCCGTTGGGGCAAAAGTCAATGAGGAGACAGGTGTAATGAGAAGCTTGGATGTGGGCGTAAAGCGTTGGAAGAAAAGGATGGTCCAGCATGGATAAGACTTCTGCTTCCATTTGAACGTGTGAGAGTTTCTTGTTGCTTAATGTATCCCTGTCGATTACTTTTAGAGCAAAGGTGGCGCTGTTGCAGTCTCTAAGCTGACAGAGGAAGACTCTCCCGAGGTTTCCGGTACCCAAATGGCGAATGAGCTTGAGGTGACGAAGGTGGAGGTTCCCGTCGGAGGAGAGGTTGCTGGCTGCCTTGATGGCTGACCATCGTGGATCCCATTTGCGGTGGTGGAGGGTGGTGATATTTCTGGTGGTGGTGGTAGTGCAGCAGGAAAGGCCTGCTTCGTTGAAGCTGAGGGTAAGGCTAGAGCGAGCTAAACTGGAACGAGCACTACAGGATGGGAAGGTCCTGTCGGTGGTGGTGGAGGTGAAGCTGAAGTCCAGATCGGTGTCTGGGAAATAGGTTTCTTCGTCCATAACTAATTCGTTTAGAGTCGAGAGTTCAAGAGTTTTCGCGTCTGATTCTCTATATATAAAAGCGAAAAAGGAAACTGAGAGAGAACCTGTGGGGTAGAAAGGAATTGAATACAAGCCGTTGGGTTGACCCAACCCTCCTCTAAAAAATTTGTATAAACAGAGGGAGAGAAAGAGGAGACAAAGGAAGGTGTTGGGTTGGGTTGACCCATTAGGGTTTTTCTACGTAATAAAAGAAAAGAATTGCATGGGAGATGGAGGAATGCAAGGAATAAATTAATAGAATATGAGAGAGAGGGGCAGTTGAGTGAGCTCCAAAAAGGAAGTAAACCCTTCATTTGTTTAACCTCTAGGACTAGGAGCCCATCAGCTGCGAGAGTTAGTGTCCAAAACAAATGAGAGAGGCAACGGCTAGTAGGCCGCCTGTATGCGCAGCTCATGGCCTTTTTATTATCCACAGTTGTGTGCAGACAAAGCTGTGTTTCAAGCTGTTTGCATTAATCCCAAGACAAGAAGTTCGATTATGGTAGTTAAAAATGGATGAGAAATTAAGAATTCAGTGTGCGGCGGTGTGGCATAGCTACCACCTACAATTCCACTCTACATATAAGTTTCTTTTCATATTAGTAATTAATAACTCTGTCGGAATTAATCGTATAACAAGTAGCACAAAGTCGGCAAATTCATTATACTTACCGACTATGAAACTTACATTGAAGGTCGATTTTGATACATGGACATCAGCTTTGCAATAAGAATTGCAAAGTAATCAAAGCAAATATTATTATAAATAGTTGGGTTATGTGTCAAAAAATGTAAATAAAAATGGGGTTTTCGTTTGATTTTTGCTTTCCCAACATTCATTGTATCAATGGCAATGTGAGAGAAGAAACATATACAAGGAATTAATGTTGTTGTAGCTTGTAAAACAAGGCAGCTATGTCCAACTAAAGCCTTTAAAGGACGGATTTACTTTCCATGACAATTAATGGCCACATGCAACTCTTTCATAATTTATCCCTTTTCTATATTAACTCTATGTATGTATATGTATTGAATTCAAATATACTTCCTTCACACATTACATAAAAATTTTTATTTTAGTGTAGAATAAACTTTATTTATTTTGTTGAATATCGATTGGTAACACTTAATATATCCATATACATTAAACTATATATATAACATTTGATATAATAGCACACAATCTAGTACATAACTAAAATCTTTTCTGTAAGAAGTGTTGATCGAATAGAGTTGTTCTAAAAGTGTTATAAAAAAATTAAAATAGCAGTTGACAAACTTAATACAGAAGTGTTGTAAAATATATAAAAAAAACCTATTTGAAAATATAGTAATTTAATAAATAAAAAATAAAAAGACTCAACTTTATTAAATTAAATCATAAATTTCAAAATGAAATAAATAATATAATTTTGTATTAATTGAAAATAATAAAACAAATTAAATAAAGACTAAATACTTGAACCAAATTAAGAAGATAAATGTGTCTACCTAAAATTTTAGGGATTATCGAAGGACAAAATAAAAATTTTATTTGTAGTTTCCTCTAAATACCCAGGTCAGCTTCTCCCATAAGTTTAAAATTATAAGGGTCAGATGCCTTCCTTTCGCTGTTATAGTAGAATAATAACTCTTGCCTATGTTGGGCCAAACACCTATTTACATACAAATACCTTTCTTTTTGACCATTAATTATATTGACAAAGAAATTTTTAAATTAACATCTAGTATTTTTCTTTTTTTATTTTTTTAACTTCTTTACATAAAAACATTAAAAATCTATTTTATAATTTTTTTCAAATTTTAATATAAAATACAACATAATAAAAACATTTTAACTTAGTTTTGGTAAAAAAATTTTAAAAAAAAAAAGAGAAAAGAAAAAGGAAAACGTTATGTTAAGACAGGAGAGAATAAAAAAATGATGAAGAGCGAAGGCGGGCATGTGGAGGAGCCAAGATGACCGCATCTCACTAGGTTGGGGACCCACGTGAAAAAGGCCCCATAGGATGCTGTCTGCCACGTGACCAACCAGTGGGCCCCACCATGCCTCAACTGTTAACTCATTCAAAATTAATAATTCATTCATTTATGAATATATTAAATAAACTGTTGATTTGAACCCCAAAAAAAATATGTCTAATCTTTAATGTCTAGTTTTTAATAATAATAATAATTCATCAATAATTATCATCATCTCTCAACTTCCTAAGTAGCCAAGTCCATACTAATAATGCAGGCAAAGAAATTATGAGCACGTCCTCTTCCTCCTGCTCCCAAAGGCGTATCTATTTCTTGCACTTGTCTATTCAATTGGCTCTCTTTACTTCCAACTTCAAATTATATTTACTTATCTATTTGTCAATTAAAATATATTTTCTTAAAATTCGAGGGATAAAACATTTTCCAAATTAAAAGGTGTTACGAAATCGTAAAAAAGAGGAAAAGAGAAAGAGAGCTTTTGGGAGTTTTTTTAGTAATGCTTTAATTGCTGTCCATATTGTTTCTTGGACTACAAAATCTTCCATATGATAGTTATTGTGCAAGGCTTTCACTTACATGAAACCATTGAGCCTGATTTTATATTAATGGCATAAACTATATATATCTCAAGATTATTAGAAGAGAATGAATTTAATATACAAAAACAATACAACTTCAACACCAACATCAACAACACAACTAAGCTAAGAATAAGCTGAAGCACTCATGACAGCAAGAACAGAAAACACTAGGTTCAGATATCCCTATTTTCATCATCCTTCCCATTTAATAAACTTAATTATTACCATTTTTTCATATTTAAAAATGTTAATTTTTTAAAATTAAATTATCAAAATAAAAAATCTCAAAGAATTTATTTATGATAATAATAATAATAATAGTGTAACATTGTGAGGATCAATGACAATAATAAAACAAAAATAATGTATGCATGAGCTGTCCAAGATGTGCCAACCCTAACAACACTTCCCCAATGAGAGTAAAAAGGTTAATACTAATGGTGCATATATATTAATTAATGCAAGTCGGAATTGCACAATGAACATGTTATAATTAACCCTCTTTTTCTTAAACAGAAAACTTCAATGATTTAATTCTGGAACTTTCAATTAGAGAATAAATTAAAGAAGGGAAGAAGTTGCATTGCATAATCAAAATTGAATCAAATTTCATAAGCATAAGAAAATAATAATAATGTGGACAGGTCGTGGAATATGCCCAACTTGGATCATCAGGTGATCTTTATCATATATACTTGTGTAATAATCAGCCAAGTTGATGTCCTCCACCAATACCATATGACCCTTCTAACTTGACCAACCAACCATGTTATATCCTGACCAAGTCTATCACAAACTCCTTCTATGCCCACTAAATCGCAATGCATTTTGTATAACTTTTTAACATCTTTGATCACGTAAAAAGAGCCGAATAATATATCACTCGAATCAATTGTCGACATTTAAATCTTTACATACGTCAATAAATAGAATTTCTCTTTTATGACATGTTACATTCATGATTTTTTTAAAAAATAAATTAAAATTTTCATTCATTTATAAAATAAATTTACGTAACTATCATGCAGACTGGTACCCTATCAAGATAGTATGAGAAGGAGCATAAAACCCTCCTTTTTTCTTGACGTGCTAATTAAAAACAGAAACAAACCAATTCAATGGCAATGGAATCAGACACCCCACCACAGAATACACAGTCAAATGTAGAATCCCATATACAGAAAACTCTCGAGAAACATGATTGACTCATCTCACCACAACCAAAAAGGTGATAACTTGATGATGTAGTCAAAATGGTGATAATAGTTGTCAAGAAATAAGCCTAGATTAAGGTTCTTCATTGTTCATAGAGAGATGGTCATGGTAGGGCGAGATGGCAACTGCATGTGCCTCCAGCCTGCTTTTGTTTAGTACTAATATGATAGGATCATAAGTTAAGAAATGGCAAATTGTTAGCGTTATGTCCATAGAAAATGGGATGTTGGTTTTGAAATGCGTGATGTTCTGCTGCTGCTTCTGCATATGAGTGGGTCCATATCAAGGAGTGAGGCCCACCGTTTTGCAAGCAACCAATTTGTGGGCCCATTCATTTTATTATGGTGGGTAGACCTAAATTTTTCATTTTATGCTCATCAAAATTCTGATAATTTGCATCAACAAAAGGGTTGTGATCTCCCTTCAAACCCGACAGTTTCCATTGGTATTATGGACCATAATGTAAATTCATTGACAAGATATGAGTAAGAATGTTGTAGGGTTTTTTTTTTTTTTGAATTTAAAAGAAGTAAAAATTATATATTAATCAATAAATCAAATACTCCAATGTAATAAGAAAGTTGTAAGGTTTAAAGAGCTTATTTGACAACAAAATTGTATTTGATGGGGAATCTGTTATGACGAAGACATGAATGGGATATTCTGGCTTCAAAAGGTGGAAGAAAGCTGTTGGAGAAATATCAAAGATGAATGATGGTGTGAGAGTGAGAGTGAGAGTGAGAGTCATTGGTGTCCCCCTTTGTTTAAAGACTGAGCCATGTGACCCAATTGGACTAGCTGTCTCATTCACCAACATATCGGATTTCATAACATTCTACACAAAATTACCTACATATCTTGCCTATAACGACATTTACACTTGAACCATTTGTGTACCTTCATTTTTAGAATATGACTTTTAAAGCCAAATCTTGAGAATTCCATTACTATAAAGCTAGGTTTAATTCTATTATTCTTATGCATGTAATTTTAAAATATATGATTCGAAAAAGATGAGATTTATGAAACGAGAAAAATTATATTTTATTATTTATTTTAAAATTAATTAAATATGTAAAATGAAAACTAGATAAGGATAGCAAAAGGGCATTGAACTTTGATCCACTCCAAAGCACAAGAAAGTCTATTGTTCCCACTTGGCTATACCATTCATTCATTCACCCATAAATGGCTTGTGGAAACCACAACCGTCTCAACATTTATTTAATAAGGGATGGTTT